TTCGGGTATCATATTTTCGGTTCAATTCGGGTTCAGGTCGTTCTCAGATCGGGTGCAGGTCGGGTTCAGATCCACAATTTCCAGGTTAAACTCAGGTTCAGGTCAACACCAGTTCCGACTTGAGTCGGTTTCAGATTGCCACAGTGTAGGTCAAAAACAGTTTTGACTCAAGTCGATTTCAGTCAATTTTACAGGTCGGGTCAGCTTTTTACACCCTTACACTCATACAAGCTTAGCAACTACATCGAATGATCTACAAACGATTAGATGAGTTAGAAGTGTGTTACCTTACTCCTAAACTATAGGAAAACATTCCAAGCTCACCCCAAAAATAAGCTTCTCTTTACCATTGTCTTTGGAGCTTTCGCCTACCTCTTGCACTAATCAAAGAACTAGGAATAAGTTACTAACTTGCTTAGAAACTCAAAAAAAAAGATAAATAGTTTCCTAAATGTTTCATTTCTCCCCATAACAAGTTGATTTTATCAAAGTTGCTAAAACCACATTAAACCCCCAACTATGACATTTCACGGTCAAAACATGAGGGAGAAGGCTTGAATGGAAACTTAAGAAGTGAGGATTACACTACTTTACAATCTCGGAATAAGGAAGAAAGGATCTCAAAGCTATCACATTTGCCCAAAACAAAAGTAAGAATGTGGAGTTTAGAATGAGAAAGAAGACAACTTTACGGAAAATGAGACATGAGAAAGGATTTAACCTTTTCCCTTTTTTCCGATGACACCATAAAATTGAATAAATTTCAACCTTAGAGATAAAATAATAGGTAAATCAATCCCTTGGTCCTTCCTATTTTATTATCGAATAAAAACACTATTTTTAAACCTAAATGGGTTCAAGCCCAAACCAACTCCACTCATCTTAACCCCAAAGCTTCTTAATAGACCCTTGATGTGTTTGGTTGGGGGAATGTGAGATTCTCATAGGAATGGAATCCACATTCCCCGTTTAGTTGGTCGGGAATGTCATTCCCGGTAATCTTACATTATTAATAGTGGATTTTTTGGGGTATATTACCGGGAATATCATTTTTTCTCTTTCCTTAGATATTGTTGGATTACCGACGTTTTGAACTAAAATGCCCTTAAAATTATTTTTTCTTTCAAAAATATCCTTATTCTGTCATTGAATAATAAAAATTCTACGAATGTTAAATTATAAATTTATCCTTAAACTATTTTAGATTTATAAAAAAAATCTATAATTAAAATTTTATATGAAAAAATAAAATTTTACCCTTTCATTAAACTTTTTTATATTTTCAATTTTGTAAAAAAAATTATATACATTTTATGAATTTAAATTTTTAAAGAAAATATATAAATATTTTTCAACTTGTTAAAAATATATATATATATATAATAAGGATAATTTGGTCAAATATACATTCCAATAATCTTTTATTCCTTTAACCAAACACGGTAATCTTACATTCCTGCTAAACCAACCAAACACAAAATACAACATTCCCAGTAATCCTATTCCCTGGTAATCTTTTATTCCCACTGGTAATCTTATATTCCGTGAACCAAACGCACCCTTAGTTTATCTAAACCTACCAGGTTTACCCAAAATTACTAATATAAGATTTAGGGTGTTACACTTACACGGTCCGAATAGTAGATATCCCAAAATAACTTTCTACTACACACCATTTGAAGTTGAGTTTGCCTTTAAGTTGGGTGAATACACTGAACTTCCATATAACAATCCCAACCCAGTATGACATGATAGCATAACATATATCTAATTTTTGATTTGATTCGAATGTATAAATTACCTATTCAAATATTTCGAATACGTAACATAAATTTATATTTGACGTATCAATATACATTACATACTATTCTTAGAATTACATTTTATACAATCAATTTCACATAAGAGACATGCTTTCAATTCAAAAGTGAATACCAATCAATCAAACAACACATAAATAACTATAGCATTGGACAAAGACACACTTCAGTAAAATAATTCTAACGATGAATGGGATGTATCCCATGATAAACTCTAACAGTGGGTCAAACCGAATAATTTACCACAGAATAATTTAATGATAACCTATTTCTATATAAAAAAAATCGAATCTAAATCTAAAATATAATCTAGTACTCACTGTCAATTCTCGTAACCCGAGTCAGTTCAAAGTTAGCTGGTAAAGGAGGAAATGACGGTAATTCGGTTCCGATTTGATTTCTCCAACAAAAATACGATGTATGATTTAAAATCCCAATCAATGATTTATACAAGGGCGAATTTCCCAAAAATTACCTTAAACTTTTTTTTATTTTCTGTCAGATATCGTTCAGACTTTATTTCATGATCTAATATCTTTTTGCAGAAAGACGCATTTCAGGGGCATATCTTATGTTGATTTGGCGCCACATGGGATAAACGCGCCCCCTGAAGCGCGCCTTGGGAAACATGTAAAAAATCGGATGTTAATTTTGTAAATATTTTTAAAATTATGCTTAATATGTAATTAATTTCTGTTAGGGTGATATTTATGTACAAACGTCAACTTTATTTATTTATTTATTTATTTTGTGTGTGAAAAAAACTTTCTACATTAAAATCTTTAAATATTCTTTTGCAAATTATTTTATAACTCGATAAATTTTGATTTTTGCATGAAATTAAACAATACATATAATTTAGTATAAGAAAACTTTGAGGGTAAATATTTTAAAATATGAATAATTTTATATAATTTTATAACTAATATTTCTTTTTCAAAATGATGATGATGATGATAATAAATATTTTATAATTTACAAAAATTATATATTTTATATATTTTGAAAAAAATTGACTTTATATTCTTTTTGTATTGAATTTTATTCAATTTTAATTATTTTTATTGCATTTTTATACTTTTAATTACAATTGATTGATCAAATGAATTATTATTCATTTTTTTAAAATCAATAAAAATACAATAAAAAATAATTAAAAGTGAATAAAATTCAATAAAAATGTCAACTTTATTTATTTATTTATTGTGTGATATTATTTTTAACAGTTAATAATGTTTATTGACTTTTAATATTAATTGTTTAAAAATATAAAAAATATTAAAATAAACTTTTAATTAAAATTGATAGATTAAATGAATTATTATTCATTTTTTTAAAAAATCAATAAAAATGCAATAAAAAGAATTAAAACTGAATAAAATTCAATACAAAAAGAATATAAAGTCAAATGTTTTTCCAAAAATATATAAAATTTATAATTTTTTAAATTATAAAATATTTATTACCATCATCATCATTTTGAAAAAGAAATAATAGTTATAAAATTATTCATATTTTAAAATATTTACCCTCAAAGTTTTATATGTATTGTGTAATTTCATGCAAAAATCAAAATTTGTCGAGTTATAAAATAATTTGCAAAAAAATATTTAAAGATTTTATGTAGAAAGGTTTTTTTCACACAAAAATAAATAAATAAAGTTGACGTTTTTACACAAATATCACTCTAACAGAAATTAATTACATATTAAGCTCTATTTTAAAAGTATTTACAAAATTAACACCTGATTTTTTACACGTTTCACAAGGCACGCTTCAGGGGCGTCTTACCCCACGTGACGTAAGGCGCTCCGCAGGGGCGCCTTTCTGCAAAAGGTGTTAAATCAAAAAATAAAATCTAAACGGTACCTAATAGGAATAAAAAAAGCTTGGGATGATTTTCGAGAAATTCACCGTTAAATGACGTAAAAAAATCGGTATGATATGAGGGAATTGAGCAACGAGATTTTAACACGATTACGGATTGTCGATTCAAACATGAGGGTGTCGGTTTGGTCACGACTAAGACAGCTGGCGGTAATGGTCACCACGACAACAATGCACTCGGCCACTCACGGTGTGGCCAACGATGACTCACGGTAGTAGCCTCGGTTCAACAACTGGATTTTGTATACGCCGACTGATCCGGCCACCCACACACGGTGCACCCTCGAGCAAATTCATGGACGACGATGGCGTAACTGACGATGAGCTTCGACGTGAATGGTGGCAGGTGAAGGAGAAAGAACGACTCATGAAGAGGAAAGAAAATAAAAGAGGGAAAAGAATGAAAGCGACCCCTCGTGGAATTTAAAACTAGGGTTGGGTTTGTTTCTAATAAAAAATGGGTAAACCTACAGGGTCAACCCCTAGTTTTACTTAGGATTTTGGAGATGGCCCACAGTTTCACTTCTTTTGAAAATTTCAATTCGATCCTAAGTAAATTTTAGGGTTTTAAAGAAAATTTCCTAAATTCTAGGATTTCGGATTTGGCGAAAAATCAGGGTGTTACATCGAGTGCTGTAATAAATGTGTGTCCAACTAGTTCTGCCTTTTGTAATTTGCTGGTTTAGTTTTAGCCAACATTTTTTATTATATAGAGAAAGGTTATATTATCGTCTCTTGAGATACATCGAATTTTCATCATCCAAGGACCACGTCACTTGCTAGCACTAGCACGAAGAAGCGAGAGAGGAATATTGGAAACTTCATGTCCGTCTATAATCTCTTAGTTCCTTGCAAATAATTAATCCCTCGTATATGCCATAAAGTTCAACTTGTAAGATCGATCTTGACCTAATGTTCTTGCTAAAACTAGCTATCCATTCATCGTTTGAGTCATGAATCACATCCCAATCGATCTAACTCGACTGGTAGGTGCTCCTCCCCCATCAGTATTTGAAAATTATTCAAATTTTAACTATTTCTTATTTTCAATTAAATGTTATTTAGTTAGACAAACTGAATTAATAAATTACTTGGGTTTTATAAATTTATTGAGTTTTAACCTAAATCCGGTTACCCTAAGCAAAAACCTATTCTTTGAAAGCTAAATTACTTATCTCCTCTATTAGTCTTAATCCAAACAAAACCCAAGCTTTAAAGCCCAATAAAGCCCAACAAAATAATTCAATTTAAACCCAATTCTCTTGAAAACCCTAGTCTTCTTTTTATCATTAGGGTTCGACAGAGAGAAGCAGCGATTGCAGTCACTGCAGAAGAACAGCAAAGGAAACAATGGGTAACTCTTCAAATGGATTAAAAATATTAATGTTTCTTTTACATGTCCTCTTTAGGTTTGAAATAAAAAAAATTAAAGATGGATGTTTCATGTCTTTTAATATTTGTTTCATGTTTTTGTTTGTATATCACTCAAAAACAGCGAGAATCAAGGTCCATGAGTTGAGACAGAAATCAAAAACCGATCTTTTAGCCCAGTTGAAAGATCTCAAAGCTGAGCTTGCTCTTCTTCGCGTTGCTAAAGTTACCGGCGGTGCACCGAACAAGCTTTCCAAGATGTAATTTTCTCCCTCACTCTTTGAATTGGTTCTTCATCACCTTTTTGCATGGTAGCTGTGGATCTTATGTTTTTGGTTAATATGGTACTTGATTTCGTAGTTTATTTGGGGAAATTGGTATTCATTTGCAAAGGATTTGTTTTTTTACTGTAACTTTTGTTTATTGTTTTTGCTATGTTGTGAGATTGAATTTCTGTTTCTGAAACAAATTGTTTCTTATAATATATTTGTTAAAATGTGTTTTGATATATAAAATGTTTTTTTATGAATACAAAGAAATTTATTTTCCCGAAGAAGCTACATTTTTTACTTTTCTATATTGAAAAATTATGGTTGAATTGATGTTTATTTAGCAGTATGCCATTTTATTCACAAGTTTGATCATTTCGTGATTATTTGAGAGGCTAAATCTGTATCATTTCATTGGCAGGTTGAGCTTTCCAATAACACATTAGGACTTAATGTATATATTGGTTTGAAAATTGTACATTTTGTGGAGTGCTTTCTCAGTTTCTCTATGAATTTCGTTTATGGCTTATTGAATATTTGAGTTAGACCTTATTATTGATTTGTTTTTTTGGTGATGTTCTGTTTCTAAATTGGTTGGTTTTTGTATGTCGTCCTGACTCCTGAGTCTCTTGTTCCTATGGATGCAGAAAGGTGGTGCGGCTGTCTATTGCTCAGGTATTGACAGTGATCTCACAGAAGCAGAAGGCCGCACTGAGGGAGGCATACAAGAAGAAGAAGTTCTTGCCCCTTGATCTCCGTCCGAAGAAGACCAGAGCCATTAGGAGAAGACTTACCAAGCATCAGGTATGAACACTTTTTTGACAATGCCAAATACATCTTTCTAGCTTTTTTTGAATGTATCTATATTACTCGGTCTCAGGTGTGAGTTTCAGATACGGACTTGTGTCCAAGCATAGGAATGTTCAAACCTTTTTAAGTTTTTCCTTGTACTTGACGGGTTTATATTCACGTACTCATTCCTGAATGTGTGGGATTCGGGTGATAAACATAGGGACTTTTAAGAGAAATAGAAGGAAAATGAAAAGTCCAAGACATGTCATGCTGCTTTTATGCCTCTTGAACGCATAGAACTTAGAATGAAACATGTTTTCAAGACTGAGTAGATGTTGAAATTTTAAAATTCCATATTCTATGTATTACTGTCGCAATTAAGATATTAAATTTCGTTTGTACAAAATTTATCTTGTTTAAACCATTTTTGTTCTTTGGCAGTTGAACCATCTGTTAATACACATTCTTCAGTTAACTTTTAACATTTTAGTTTGCTTACTATTGGCATAACTTGTTTGGTTGTATCTGAATGTTGGTTTTCTTGCTTGCCGCAGGCATCGTTGAAGACAGAACGGGAGAAGAAGAGGGAAATGTACTTCCCAATGAGGAAGTATGCCATTAAGGTTTAGGACAAGATATTTCAGAAAGATTCTATTTTTTGAATCCATTTATCTTTGCTTACTAGCAACATATTGCGAAACCGGAGTTGTAATCTTGTTCAATTTTCGAGTTTTTGAACTTTTCCGATGTCAAACCTAGATGTTGATCTTTTTGATGAAGTGGTAATCGAAAAGAGGGACTGACTTTTGCATTTGTTGATGAGAATTGTTATATTTATCTCATACTGCAAGGCTGGCTTCGAATCTTTGCTGATCAGTGTCATGTTTAGATACTTTCCTCGTTCCCTAGTTAAAGCAGCCAGAGTTGTGTGGTCTGGCCGGATAGGAATCTTTTTGGAATTTTGCATCGGTTTTCTGGCCGGTTGGGGACATTATAATGCACACTAGTAATACCTTACTTGCCTGTAGGATCAGCCATGGGAACTTGCACCAATGCGTGCGCCTGGCGGAAAATCCTTTAGATACAAGTAAAATTTGTTATGTAAATAAGTTCGATTTTCAGATTACAAGTAAAATTTATGTTGACAGATTCTTTAGTCCACTGAAAGACAAGATGGTCAAAATAAGTTTTGCATCGTCTTTTAGATTTTGTTTGAAGAGTATTGCTATTTATTAAAAAATTTATTGAACAAAAACAGGTAAAAATGGATCTAGAGATGTAGTTAAAATTCCAAAACTTAACCTATGATCAATGACTGCATTTGTGTTTTATGATCCTAAGTTATGTACTACACATTTTTTATCCAGATAAAATACTAAAATGGATACAGGCAAGGAAACTCTTCGGCATGGTCATAGGAACAAATGTAAACAGATCTGGGATTTGCTAAAAATGCCATTTTTAGGGTTTGAAAAACAATGAGAGCCGCAAGACCCTACACTAGTGGCAGTTGGTGAAGTCTTGCATTGGCTTCCATTTCATTTCAACGGTTGAAACTTTCAAACAAATTACGATCAAAGCCCACGTTTTGAGGTTGTTAATCAATCATCCCTCACCACACACAAAAATTGATACCAACTTCTTCCATAATTTCCTTTAGTTTAATTCTGTTTTCATGGAAATTGCATCATCTTTTCTATAATCCCTCATTTTTTTATCAAGTCTACATAAAATTAGAGCAATAACCACCATATACATTTCAATATCATTTACATTTAAAAGAAAAAGTTAAATGTTTTTTAGGCTTGCGCCTTTTTTTTATTGGTCGGTGGCAGCATCAATCTTAGTGTTGATCGCCAATCGTTATTATTTTTGTTTTTCTTATTTTTTATATATTTTATTTTTTCTTTCAGATTTTTAATAATTCTACCTTTTGGCATGCTTTTGTCTGTCTTTTGGTATGTTTCAATCTTTTTTAACGGTTGTTTAGTTGATATTAACTTTTAACTTTTTAGGGTTAGATTTGTAAAGAATTTGTATATTTGATGAATTAAAATTTACAAGTGATGGGTATATATAAGATTAAAAAGGAATCTAAATCCTACGAAGGTAAGGAAAGTCAAATGCATACACCAAGTAAGGTTTATACAAGGTATAATAATATTGATTATAATTTGTAGTTTGACTTAATTAGATTAGATTATTCAATCTAATCTAATCTTTATCTTTAATAGGATTTGACATCGTCTCGACTAATCAAGATGACGTTTATTTATTACCCTGTTGATTTACTTTGCTTTGGATTCTCAGATGGATTTGGATATGCAATTTGCATTCATAGATAGTTTTCGTATGACGCTCGACATTGATTTGTAATTGTTGGTGGTCTTTCAGTAGCTTGATTCCCTGTTGTGATTCGTTTGCCAACGTAATCAGATCTATTCATATCTTTATTTTGTTCAAAATTTTGGATGAAATTTTAACTTTTTCCTTATATGCTCCTTATATAATCTTTAGTGCTAGTTTCGTGTGTAAGATTATAATAAATATCCTCATTATATGTTTAATTTACATTTTACACTTATGATCGTAGAATGATATTGTCATTTTACTTCAAAATTTTCAATTTGTTTTAAAATAAAAATTTACAGAAAAAGTCAGATGACGTGGATATATTTTTAACGATATATAAAAAAAATGTTTCGTTGGTATTAATGGAAGTAAACGAATTATAAATATAAACAAAGCAATAAATTTTGACTGAAGAAACTCAACCATTGTTGTTTCTTGGTAGACCTTAACCTCGTTTCATTATCCGACGATAATTGATGATTAATTAACCAAGATTAGAATTTCTCTCAAAACCGAAGACTAATCCGTATATTTAATTAATTATGTCAACATTATTATTTTACCTAAAACATCAATGTTTTTTAACATTTCAGGTAAGTGTCCAACAATAACAAAATCGATAGAAAAAATAACAAAATCGGTAAAGCGCCCAATAATAACAAAAACGGTAGAAATAATAATGTTTTCGGTAATTTTTACCGATTTTGTTATTTAAATAATAACAAACCCGATAACGTCTTTTTTTAACCGTATATTAAAGCTACCACACGTGATCATTTACGAGTCAGGGAAAAAAGTTCTTTATGCTATTTTTGTCATTAATCCAAGACTTCATTTTTGTCAAAATAATCTCTATGCTATTTTAATATTTAAACAATATTATTTATCCTTAATTTATGTTCAATTGTATTATTAATTACTGATTCCACAATTATAAAAAAGAAAATATATTTTAATCTCTTCTATTTATATTTTTTTATCAATTTAATCATTAGAATTTAAAAATAAAAAATTATTACTACTTGAACGACAACAAAAGTTTAATCATTTAGGTTTATAGATTCTAAAGAGTTAAATTCATAAAAAAAATTATAAATATAAAAGATTAAAATTATTTTACCTTTTATATAACTGTTAAGTCTACATCTAATAATAAAATTAAATAAAAATTAGTGAAATTAAAGATTTAATTTAAAAGTTAAAATATATAGATAAAATTTTAACTTTCAAATAATAAAAAATACTTTAATATATTTAAAACATTAGCACAAATCAAACAACCTAAGTGTCAAAAAGAATTATTGTTATTGCTTGAGGTCCCGAGTTTGAGCACTAGAAGTACTAGAGGTATGAACGTTCATATCAAATGATTGAAAATTTATGTTTGATCAAATATTACCTTATACATAACCCATTAATTAAAAAAATCTGCTGCCTAAATTGTGATTGATAACCCTATACAAAAATCAGTCACCCATTTATTAGTAACAAACTAAATCTTACTATATACGCGCCTACGTGTTTCAATTCCTTCATCATTTATTTATTTTTAATAATAAGAATTGAATTTCGTTAATAAAAAAATACAACATACCTAATTATAGGGGGAATAATAGTTATAAAAATTTTATATAAATTTAAAGATATAAAAAATAAATGAAACCTTATCTTAAGACATCTAATATCAAAAGAATCTAATAATTTTTATAAAAAAAATTATTTTCTTTGAATGAGACACTTTACAAAGTGGTAAATAAGTGGTGAGTAAGTCAAACTACCTAGTAGATTGTTTCGCTACACAATTCTAATTCTACAAATAACATTTTATTAAGGAGGGATCTGAATATCGTGAACACTAACAAACAAATCAAAAAATAAATTTCGTTAAAGTCATTGTGCAAGCACTAAAATAACCTCAAATGTATACTAAAAAAGTACCACAAATCATAAGAAATATGTCACAAGAGTAGAGAAAATGCATACCATAAGAATAGAGAAAAATATGTCACAAAGATACTTATTCTTATTTAAAGTTGAAAAAAAAACTCAAAAAGAAAAAAAAGAAAACAAATGGCATAATATGAAAATTAAAGAAAAGGAAAACACAACATAAAAATATTAAGAGAAAAGTTAAATTAAAAAATAATTACTAAAAATGATTATTTAAAAAGTGATTATTCCCTTCATCCTTCATTATTTGTATCGAATTGTAGCTCAAACTGTTACTGGAATAATAGTTTTTAGGGTAAATTATACATTTTGTATCTAAACTATTAGTTTTGGTCCATTTTAGTATTTAAATTTTTAATTTTTTAAAATAATACATAATGTTTAGTTTTATTTCATTTTAGTACTCCACTATTAAAAATGTAACGCATTTAGTACCTAAATTATCAGTTTTAGTCTATTTTAGTACCTAAATTTTAAAAAAATCAAAACATAACGTTAAATTTTGAACATGGATACTAAAATGAAACAATAAACTAAACTTTAGGTATGATTTTAAAAAAAATTAAAAGTTTAGATATTAAAATGGATCAAAATTAATAATTTAAGTACTAAATACGTAATTTACCATAGTTTTAAATTGTCAGTCATCAGTTTAAGCAGGTTTAAATATATGTATCATTTTAATTATATTTATATATTAATATTATGATAAGTCAAATGTATAATATATTTTAATTTAAATATATTTGAGAAAATAACCTCAGTGATCAAAAATACCTTATAATATACGATTTTAACCAACTTTTTTTGATTTGACAAAATGACCAACTAAATCGCAATGCGATCGATAATTCGCAACGCGATCTCCGGTATCGCAAATCAGTTTCCAGATTCGCATTGCGATAGTCGACTATCGCAATGCGAATATGTAAATCGCAATGTGATAGTCGACTATCGCAATGCGAATATGTAAATCGCAATGCGATAGTCGACTATCGCAATGCGAACTTAGACTATCGCATTGCGATTTGCGATAGTCGAAGTTCGCATTGCGATAGTCCAAAATCGCAACGACTGGTGGTATTGCATTTGTTTCTTAAGAATTTTCTCTAAAAAGATAGTATTCGCGCGAACGTGTCGAAGACACGTATTACCACGACCACGACCACGACCCGACCCGACCCGAGACGGAAGGCGGCGGCGGCGGCGCGCGAGAGTCCCCCTTGTTCTCTATCATTCAACAAGGAAGTGGGAAAGCCAAACATTAAATACCATCCCAATAGTGTTTCCAATACTATGTGGGATTGAGCATTGCCAACACTTGTTCCCAATACTATGTGGGATTGAGCCTTAAATAGTGATATTATTTTTGAATGTTTTGCTTAAAATTGCAATAATCGCGATTGATTGTAGATTGACATTTAATTATGACATATTTAATCGTATAATACTAATGCAATTAATTGCTGATTCAGTTGTTTTAAGGTGCATGATTGTTAATTGTTTCCTGAATAATCACATTGTATTGGAAACAAGTGTTGGTAATGCTCAATCCCACATAGTATTGGAAACACTATTGTGAATGGTATTTAAGGCTTGGCTTTCCCACTTCCTTGTTGAGTGATAGAGAACAATGGGGACTCTCGCGCGCCGCCGCCGTCGTCGTCGTCGTGGGTCGTGGTCGTGGCGTGGTCGTCGTCGTCGTGGTAATACGTGTCTTCGACACGTCCTCGCGAATACTATCTTTTTAGAGAAAATTCTTAAGAAACAAATGCAATACCACCAGTCGTTGCGATTTTGGACTATCGCAATGCGAATATATAAATCGCAATGCGATAGTCCAAGTTCGCATTGCGATTTACATATTCGCATTGTGATAGTCCAAGTTCGCATTGCGATAGTCCAAAATCGCATTGCGAATCTGAAAACTGATTTGCGATACCGGAGATCGCGTTGCGAATTATCAATCGCATTGCGATTTAGTTGGTCATTTTGACAAATTCAAAAAAATTGGTTAAAATCGTATATTATAAGGTATTTTTTGTCACTGAGGTTATTTTCTCAATATATTTTATACTGTATATTAAAATATATTTGATCTTAATTGTATCTTTGACTTAAATTTAAATGTTTGTATTTTTTTTTTGAAGTTAAACAATTTATTTTTTTATATTTTATATTTTATATTTGATCTTAATTGTATCTTTACCTCAAATTTAGATATTATTTTACGTAAATATCATAATATCCGAAATGAAAAACTTCTGGTAACTTTAAATTTTGAATAATATTATTTTATATATTTGGTATGCGCATTCAAATATATACGTCACCATCTATTTTCAAACCAAAACATTCAACACGGATTTCATAAGTAAACGGTATAAACTTGCTGCTCCATTCTTTCTATATATTCCGTTTGCCCACAAATGAAAATAGCATCAAATCCAGCTTCCTTCTTCTTCAATCTCTCTCTTCTCCTCAAGGTTTAAAATTAAAGCAGATTTTACACCTTTGAATTGAGAAAAATGGTGTTATTTCAGACTTCAAACAACCACAATCATCTCAACATCCAAAGAAAAGGATTGTCTCCACTTTCTAAAACACCCATTCCCACCTTTTCCTCACCAAGCTCCCCAACAGCTTCGATGGCGAAACAAAGCATTCAAAATGCTGAATCAATCATCACAAAATGGGATGTAAACTCTTCTTCATTAACCAGTGTTACCCCTCTCTTTCACCATAACAGAAAAGAAGCCAGAGAGTATCTCAAATGCGTTATGGATCTTCGTGGATCCATGCATTTTCTCGCTTCTCAAAATTTGTCCCCTCACGACCTCGTTCTTGCTCAAAACCTCATGCAAATCGCCATGAAAAGGCTCGAGAAAGAGTTTTATCAGATATTGGCTTCGAATCGTGAGCGGCTCGATCCGGAATCAGTATCGACGAGTCTCTCGTCCGATGGCTCAGCCAGTTTCCACTACGATGACAATGATGAAGCTGAGGTTGATCAGCTGAAAATAGCCGGTGAGTCAATCAGCGAAGTGGAGAGAGATTCAGCATTGGCAATGACGGATTTGAAGGCGATTGCCGAGTGTATGAGCACTTCTGGTTATGGAAAAGAGTAAAGTGTGTAAAGATCTTCTTGGGATCGAAAAGTTCAAATCTTCCCAGATCAACAAAATGAATTGGGAATCACTCGAATTTACAATCAAGAACTGGTTGAATGCTGTGAAGATTGCTGTGAAATCACTCTTTAATGGCGAAAAAATCCTCTGCGATCATGTTTTTTGGGCATCTCAAACTATAAGAGACGCTTGTTTTGCTGAAATAACAATGGAAGGAGCCAAGAATCTATTCAAGTTCCCCGAAATCATCGCCCGAAACATGAACTCACAGCCGGAGAGAATTTTCCGACTACTCGAACTCTACGGAACAATCTCCGAACTCCGGCCCGAGATCGAATCAATCTTCAACGTTGAATTAACCTCGGCAATTAAATCCGAGGCCCTTTCATCACTGCAAAAAGTTGGTGACTCAGTTTTCACATTGCTAACCAATTTCCGATCATCAATCCGAAAAGACTCATCGAAAACGCCGGTTCCGGGGGAGGAATTCATCCCCTCACCCAATCCGCTATTAATTACATAACTTCCCTGTCGGATTACGATCGTATTCTCTCCGATATCCTATCGGTTCATCCGCCGGTAGAAAACCCACCGTTTCCAGAATCCTATTTCGACAATCCGGCCGCCATCGGAGCTGCTCCGATCCATCTTGCATGGCTTATATTGGTGCTTTTATGCAAAATCGACAGTAAAGCTCAACAATACAAAGATCTCTCTCTTTCGTATCTTTTCTTGGCAAATAATCTTCAGTTCATCATTAACCAAGTTCAAACAAGTAACCTTCAACATCTTTTAGGCGATCAATGGCTGTCCAAACATACCCAGAAGATCAAACAATACGCTTCGAGCTATGAATTGGTAGCCTGGAATCGGGTTTTCAAAACTTTACCCGAAAGAACATCAGAACTATCGCATGAAGCGGTCAAAGACTTTTTCAAAAGATTTAATGTTGCTTTCGAAGAAGTTTATATGAAACAGATTGTGTGGAGTGTGCCAGATGGGAAGTTGAGGAATGAATTGAAGGTTTCGATTGCTGGGAAACTTGTGCCTGTTTATAAAGAATTCTACGACAAGTATTCGACGATATCGGATGGGGATTTCGTAAGGATTTCGCCTGATGACTTGGGGAATTATTTATCTGATCTGTTCCATGGAACTCGGATTTCATCGGGTTCTTTGACATCGTCATCTTCGTCTCATTCAAATGGCTGCCTTCTTCGGTGAAAGCCACAATTCAACAACTGTGAATGCGATGTCTGATATACAAAATCTATGGAAATTGTGTCCTTTCCTGATGTTCTTAAATATTTTAGCTTTCTGATTTGTTTGATGGAGCTTAGGTTCTGATTTGTTGTTTTAGATTCAGAATTTGGCAAGTTTATGCCTCAAAATGTCAAATACTCCTAATAAATAAAGGATAAATATCAAATTTACAACAAAGAACGGGAGTCTAGAATTACAAGTCCTTACTCGCAACAATTTCACTAAGGCTCATCCAAGATTTCCTCCTCCTTTTACCTGAAGCACCCACTGTTTTTTCCACATCAGGTGTCATCGGATTGTTTTCATGTGCAACCGGTTTTTTCGACCGGGATTTGTTCCTATTTCTCTTTTTCAAATCCAACAAAGTCCTATCTCGAATTGGAGACACAAGAGCATCTGTGTTCGGATTTTCAACACCAGCCACTGCAGGTGATCTTGTTACAATTATCTCATCAATATCATCTTTGCTTGTTTCTTCACCTGAACTGATAATAGGCTTCAAATTTCTAGACTTGACAACTTTGGGTGTCGAAGATAATGTTTTTAACTTGGGAGGGTAGATTTCTTTCATGTGGCCCTCTGGAGTCCCTCGTTTTAGATTCCGATGCAAACAGAAGTGGCAGTTGTAGACCACGGTATTCTGTGTCGAAATATGAGGTTTCTTACGTCTATGCCTTGCATTTGCTCGATTCTTTTCAATGCGAACAGTGCAATTAAAGCCAGGCTGAAGAATCGTCTCACATCTGCAAAACAATAAACTGAAATCAAAACTAACGCAGCTTCATATATCCTACTGCATTTAACATGACAAAAAGAGTAAAACAGGAAGCAAAATTATCAAACTAGTTGTTGAACTAAACAATTAGAACCGACAATCTAAATAGCATCTTATACCCAAACTCTTCATTTTTCTTAAAAGTATTGATGTTTAACATTTATGTCGGACACATTTTTGGACATGAGAGTAAGATCCTCAAATATATGAAAAATTAGGAAAAAATTAAACACATCCATGTTGCATACATCCATTTCCAACAAGAATCTCTTGAGTCTGATAATATGGGATAGACTGGACAGCACTTCTCTTTCTCATAAGTCATAAATGCTAAACTTAAAATAATTAGTATCTGTAGTATAAGCCGTTAAAAAGGACCAAATTAATTGATCAATTGAAATGAATCCTAACATGAAAGGTGCCTAAAGAAAAATACAGTAGCTTGGGGACAGACATGGAAGAAAAACTATAATGTCATTTCGCATATAAATTTAATCTCAAACAAAATTTAGAAATGGCACCTACGCGAAGTATCAACAAGCAAACAAGAAAACAAGCTACATGTTAATTCAGTAGCTTGGGGACATACATGGGAGAAAAACTCAAAAATGTCGCATGAATTTAATCTCAAACAAACATTAAAAAACGACACCTGTGGCAAGTATCAACAAAGAAACAAGGACAGTTCTCAATATTTTTTATGACAAGAACTCTCGGGAATCTCCCCACACTTTCTGAGCCCCCACTTTCCTATGACAAAGTATGAACATGTAAAGAAGTTACAAAAGCCATTGTTCTTAATATTTCTTATGGAATGGATCATGGAGAGAATCTCCCCACACGTCACTCCCACCTTCCGAAGCCTCAAACTCATCAAGAAAGGACTCAGTAAAGCTAAACCAAGGCAATGATAGTTCACCTATGGTAAGTATCAACAAGTAAATGAGGAAACAATAGTTCTTAAGACTTTTTTAGACATTAACCTTCAAGAGAATTTCCCCGTATCTCACCAACTCACCCCACCCTAATGCCCAACATTACTAAGAGCAGATCCACTCAAGTAAAACCACTTGCATTGCAATTCAAAATGAATGATCAATAACAATTAAACCAGCACCAAACAAACTTGAATCAGGGAATCCAACAAAGAACTGTTTTCAGTTATTAATTTCACATCGCAAACGCATCCAAGTACTCGATATCAAAGCCTAAAGTTTTAACGGTAAAGGTAAGACCTATCTATTTTAGTCAATTGCATTCTGTTATGGGACTCACACTCAATGCTAGCACAATACATATGAAATGGGATTGTAAACGACACTTGTGCACACAAACTAAAAAAAAAAAAACTCAAATTCAACTTCATCATTGTTGAGTGGAATTCAAACTACATAACAAACCAAATTCAAATATCGTAACATGATCCGAATAGCTTGTGAACCTAATCAAGTTTTTTTTTCATACGTATTGTTGAATTAAGCTTCGCACTTAATAGGTAAACGAGACTAATCGAGCAAGCTTGAGTGAATTTTTATCTTGAATTGAGCTCAAAGTTTAAAAGTGAAACTCAATCTATGAACTTAGAGGCTTAAAGCCTCAAGCTTTAAATAGAGTTATGGCTTCTTACAGCTTAAACTTGATTTAGCTCGATTGCACCTCTAATCCATAACATCATAATAACTTTTATACACCTAACCTATGCTTGTTAACTAGAAGCACATACCATCTAAAGGCAACCAATAGGTCTCAAATTCCCATAACAACACGGTTCAGTGCCAGAAAATACTAACCTCTGGCAAGGAAATAAAGAAGGATCTTGGGGGATTGCCGAAGCTTCTCCATCAGTGGCCAATCCGTGCCCAAAAAAAGAAGCCAAAGAAGGGATTGAGGCTTCGCCACAAGCCCATACAGCTAGGTTTTGCAAGTGCTCGTGTTTCAATGCAGATTTGACGTTGGTGGACCCTCCTCCCTTTGTTTGCTTCTTGCCGGTCGCTTCTTCTCTGAGTGAGACCGTCTTTTGGAACTTCGACGGCGTATTTGCCGCTCCTTTCACACCTCCAAGATATCCGCTACCACCTCTTCCTCTCTTTCCCATATCTTCACCTCTTTTCTTCCTTAAGCCTCTGTTTCCCTCTTCAATTTCAGCGGCAAAAAACTGTAGCAGTGGCAACAGAACAGTCAACAATACAAACTCAGGTTTAGGTATGCTTCAGATTTTATGTTTTTCAATCACTCGTTATAACTGATAAAAAGAAAAAGGTAGTTGGAAACTGTGCAGTTTGGAATTAGGATTTGCATTCATATATACTAAAAACCTAGAAACAAATAGGTGTTAAAAAGTATGAAATAGGTCATTTACTTGAATGGAGCTACTAAAATGTTAAAACTAAAGAACCAAATTCAAGCTTCAGAAACGATGAGAAGAGCTTTATACGGAAATAAAATCCAAAATTTGCATACATATGAATATATAAATAAATATGTAAGCTAAGCAGAGAAAGTAAATGAAGGAGCTATTGGCGTGGATTATAAAAATAAAAGAAGTACATCAGTACATAACTGAAACAAAACAATACCTTGAGAATGGTTTCTATATCGGTTTGAATTTGAGAAAGAAACAAAGCTATAATGGTGGTGCAAAGGATTTCAACACAACGACAAGGGGGTTTTCGATATGGATAGACAGCAGATTGTGAGGCATCAGCAGAGTAAGGTTTGACGGTGCAACACTGAAAATCAAGAACCAATGATGAAGGGGGACGATGTTAGTAAACAGAAAAAAGATGATTGCAGCGGCGTTGGGAGTTTTTTTGGGAAATATGTTTTAGGTTATTTAGAAGGATTAATACAAAAATAAGCTGTAAAATTATGCCTTGAAAATTGTGGGGCTAGTTTAAAGAATTTTTCGATAAAAATATATCTAATATTTTTTGTATATTTTTAAATATGTATCGTTATATTTTTAAATTTTTTAATAATAAAAAATATTTTCTAAAATTAAAAATTAAAAAACTTCATTTGTTAATAAAAACCTAAATTTTTAATGAAATTATAAAAACTCTAAAAATTAAAAATTTTCATTTCAACCCTATTATCAACCATAGTCGGTTATCTCCAGCCATCATTATCATCGTCGAATAGTTGAGTTTTGATCAGAATTGAACGGTGGTCCGAATGACGAAGAACAACGACGGTAGTTTAAAATTGAACGAAAATATGAATGCTTTTCCACATCAAACAATGGCAGATTACAAGGAAATGCTAACAAGGTTTGATCGGGGTTTACATCGGTGCTGATGACGACGATGGTAATGATCACGATTGATTGGCCGGCGGCTATGGAAGAGAGAAGCGAAGAGAAATGAGGGAACACGTGTTGTTGTTTGGTTTTTTTAATAAAAATATTTTTCTTTTTAAATTTTTTTAAATAAATTCTCAAAATTATCAGAACCTGACACATGTCATTTAATGGGTATTTTTAACGACGATTAACATTCGAGCACATAAAAATATAATGTTGGAAATATTAGAGATCTATTTTTAGTGAAAAAAATTAGGCATTAAAACGTTTTTCGAGATATAGTTTGGACACTTATATTTTTATTAAGCATATTTAGAAATTATAAAATATAATTAAATATAATAATAATAATAATAAAATATGATAAACTATAATAATACTATTTAATTACTTCTTCTTTTCACTCTGACCACTTATTTTTTATTTTAATCAATCAGGCTGCTTAAATGTTTAAGTATTTCAATTAAACCACCTACCGGAGGAATTGACATGGTAGTTAAAAAATTTATGTTTTTACACATTTGATCCTTATTATTATATATTCAATTAATTTAATTTTAATTTTATTTTATTTTAATAAATCTAAGGTTAACTACACAAATGATCACTTATGTTTTTGTTTTGTCAACTTTTTGTCATTTAATTTAGAAAACATAAGATATGGTCACTTTTGTTTTTATTTAATAAAGATGTGATCACCCCGAGTTAACCACCATTAACAACAGTTAAATATTTTGATATAATCAAACATTTGATTCTTATTATTTATATATTATTTCAATTTAGTCATACTTTTAATAAATTAAAATAAATTTAATCCTCCAATCAAATGATACCACATGTCATGCCACGTGTGACCATTAGGTTAGAGGACTAACTTTATGTAACACCTTAAACTAGTCTGACCCAAAGATTCGTGGATTATGATGCCACACGGAACAACCGAAATGATCAACCCGAAAATTTCTTTACAAAGCAGTTTATAATTATCAAAATCATCCATCATATCATATATGAAATCAAAATAAAGTTTACAAAATACGAGATTCTCCCAAAATGCGTACAATACTACCGTAGAGTTTAAAAAAAAAAAAGTTATGACTCGAATACACAAGGTCCATATAGAATACATGCCCTCTACAAATACTTAAGACACACTCTGCAAATCGTCTGGTCTGAAACGTTCGAATGTGATAGGTTCCCTCAACGATCCTCTACTAATCTACGCACGGAAACATATTTCATACGCTAAGACCGCATCTTAGTGCCACGAAAATAACTATGCAATACTACATGCCTTCATTACATGAACATGCTGGAAAGCAAAGTTAAACATGCATAAGTACATATTAAACATGAGATAGGCCAAGTGGTATGGTTAGAGGAACTTACGTGCAACTCAGACAACACACTAGCCTATCTAGAATGTGATAGCTTCGGAGTAAGAGCAAGAATTTACGTGCATCGAAACTTATGTCCCTCAATCTATCTCGGATCCTCGAGGGGTCGGGGTGAGGTCCGAAATTTACGTGCATCAGAAGATCATATCACGTACCTAGTCAAGCATAGTGTACATTTCCAGAATTTACATGTATTAAAATTTGTACATGTACGACTCAGAATTTATGTACATCTGATGCATATCAAACAGACAATATTCATATATTCACAAACAAAAGATGATTGTCATAACATTAGAGTAACTCGGGTGTCTGAAACGTTTCCCGAGTGTCACACTATGCAAATCTTATGACATCCTAACTTGTTTGTTTTCTAGGTGAGATATTAGTTATCTTAATTATTTTCACTTGTATTGGATAATTGTTGCTTATACGAACTCAAAACACCTCGGCCCGAACACCCAAACGAATTAACCAAAATTGCCCAAAATCTCCGTGAGTATCTATATTGGGCCAACATTATCTATATTCACCCTTTGGGTATCGATACTCACCTAAGTATCAATACAAAAATTTGCTTCGAAGTTTTTAAAAAATACTTGGGTATCGATACCCCTATGGGGAATATCGATACTCTACCTTGGGTATCAATACTCTCATGAGTATCGATACCAAAAATCAACGTTGATGTTTTTAAAAATGCCTTAGTATTGATACTGACTAGCTTGGTATCGATATTGAACCCCAAGTATCGATACTGCCCTTATAAAATTTCTTGATTTTAGTCTTCAACAAAGAACAATATCGGTATTGTTCTTCTAGTAACGATACTGACGAACATGGGTGCTCTGTCTTGGGCACGAAATCATACCTAAAAAAATCCATTCACTCCCCTAAGACTAGTAAACCTTTTTAAAGTCTTTTTTAGTGTCTTATAGGTCAAAATGTGTAATCTTTCATGCATATAACACAAAAATATGAATCTTGACATGAAATCCTTCTGACATTCTTGCATGAACAAAACATACCATTTATGCACATTTAGTGAACTACATGTGGTATGAACAAGTTAGAATCTTGTTACCTTGAAGCTAGGTAATTGAAAAAATCTTTAAATCACCCAAGGACTAACTTCTCATTGCCTCTAGATTTTGAGCTCTTCTTTTCCTCTTGCACTAACCAAACCATGGAAAATGAGTTGTTAGCTCATTTCAGACCTTAGGAAGATGCTAAGAACATTTTCTTACCACCCAAATTCCATAAAATGAACTAGAACTTAGAATTCTGCAAACCCCCACTAAAACCCCTTTTTGGCTAACTAAGCTAAATCTTACGAAAGTGGGGTTAGATGAAAGCTTAGGATGAGTAATATACTTATTACCTTACAATTCACAATGGATGCTTAGATTTCTTAAAGGTTCGACCTTTGCTTGATTTAAATGGGAAAGAAGATGAAAAAAATGGAGGAGAATAGACAAACAAAATGATAAAATAGATGAGAAGGTGGGAGACGTGATATCATCCCAAATAAATGGAATTCAGCCTTTGATTTGAAAAATAGGTTAATTACCCACCTAGTTATTCCCCATTTGATGTATGATTAAAATCATCCCTTATAAGTTAGTTGGGCTCATCCCAAGTCCAAACTAAATCCACTTGGGTCCAAATGTTCATATACTAAAGGAAAATTATTCTAAAACCCGTTTGAATAAACCTGAAACTTCTAACCCTTATTTCGGGGCATTACACTTTTTTCTAATTTAATATATTTATTTCCACCAATCAAAGAGTGACGTGTGTCACCCTCTGGTTGAAAGAAAATATTGGAAAACAAATTGGGGCAAAAAAAGATTCAAACATTGGTCACTTAGGAAACTAAACATGTATCCAACCATTAAGCCAATGTCACTCTAAAGTAGAAACATTGTGTATATATTTTGTATCTTAGAGTATAAATACTTAAATTCATAATATTTATATATATTAACTTATTAAATATGTTTTATTATCAAATTAATTTAAAAATATTTTATTTTCATTTAAAAATATATATTTATGTAAAAAATTTATTTAAAATATGATCTAATTAAGATAATATGTAAATAATAGGGACCAAATGTGTGATTATACTAACTATCACATCACATATTATGTTAATTATTGATAACAATTAATCCCTGATGGCTACATCTTAATTAAATAAAAACGAAAGTATAATTAAGTAAAAACCAAATTGATCATATCTTATGTTTTTTATAAACCAGTAACCAAAAGTGTACAAAACGTAAATATAAGTGATCATCCGTGTAGTTAACCTTAAATTTAATTCTTTAATTTGACAATGACATGTCGCTCCTTGGTTAGATGAATTTTTTTTTTCTAAATTAAAGTTAGACAATAACATATGCTATTATTATATTTAAAATTTAATTTTATTGAACTAAATTAAAATTAGTACGAAATCTATAGTTATTAATATTTGTCATGACATGGAGCATAATAGAATCTATCCACACTTTATGATCCCTCACTTTTCCAATTAAACTTTACCATTGTTGAGTGGAGTTCAAACTACGTAACGAACCCAATTCAAATATTATAAAGTCATGTATGGTTGGACGTTTAATTGATTGGATTTTAAAGGGGTCGAATCTCGTCCTTTAATTTTAGGGTAAACTACACGGGATACCACCAAGCTATGGTCATTAATTAATCTTGTCACCGAACTATTTTTTATCTCAATTCGACCACCAAACTTTTTAATTGATTCAATCAGACCACCGCACCGTTAATTTTAACAGAGTTGGTGACATGTCTGTTAATAAAATAGGTATAAGTATATATTTGGTCCTTAATATTTACATATTCAATCAATTTAGTCACTATTTTAATTCAATTAAATAAATTTAACTATTCAATTAGAACATGACATATGTCAATACATGATTGGAAGGTTTTATTTATGAATTTTAAATTATTTAATTAAATAATTTTTTTATCTAATCAGGTGGTGACACGTATCACCACCCCCGATTGAAATGGAAAATGAAAGAACAAAGATG